ATTCCCAGCAAAATGGGAGGGGGGAGTTGGGGCGGGTTATATGAAGCATGAAGATATTAGAAGAATTAAATTTTGACATAACATTAATGAACCCCCTGATTAATTGCTAGTAAAATAAAGGAAACACCATGCAATATACATTCATGGGAAAATTAGAGTTTTCAGTTAGCTAGAGCATTAGCATACACCCACATGAGAAAGCTGTTCAGGAAAACAGAGCAGGTGATAATTAAGGGTAATAGAATAATTGTTATATAGCATGATTTTTCCTAGCCCACATCTGTTGATTTTAAAGCTCTCTAGACTGGTCTGGAAAATACATGGTAAAATGTAACAGAATTATGAGCAAAACAATTCTTTATAAATAAATAAATAATTTTATTTCTATACCGCCCTTCTCCCGAAGGACTCAGGGAGGTGTACAGCCTATTAAAAACACAAAGACAGACATCTTTAAAAATAATTAAAATTATTACGTAATTTCGGCTCACATTTAAAACCCCAAAAATTTAAAACACCCTATCATTACATTGATAGCCCGGCTTGGCGGAACAGCAGGGTCTTGAGGGCACAGCGAAATACATGGAGGTCGGAGATCTTACGCATTTCCGGGGGCAGTTCATTCCACAGGGCAGGGGCTCCCACAGAGAAGGCCCTCCCCCTGGGTGTCGCCAGCCGACATAACTTGGGTGATGGCACCCGGAGGAGACCCTCTCTGTGGGAGTGAACTGGCCGGTGGGAGGCTGTTGGTGGCAGAAGTCGGTCTCGAAGGTACCCGGGTCCTATGCCATGGAGCGCTTTAAAGGTGGTGACCAACACCTTGAATCGCACCCGGAAGACCACTGGGAGCCAGTGCAGCTCGCGCAGGAGGGGTGTCACATGGGCACAATGGGTTGCGCCCATAACCACCCACACGGCCGCATTCTGGACCAGCTGGAGCCTCCGAGTGCTCTTCAAGGGGAGCCCCATGTAGAGAGCATTACAATATTCCAGCCGGGAGGTGACAAGGGTGTGAGTGTCTGTGCGCAAGGCGTCCCGGTCCAGAAAGGGCTGCAACTGGCGAATCAGGCGAACCCCCCTGGCCACGGTTGTCATATGCTCTTCTAAAGACAGCCGTGCATCCAGGAGGACACCCAGATTGCGAGCCCTCTCTGTGGGGGGCAGAGATTCACCCGCAATAGTCAGCGATGGCACCAGCTGACTATATCGGGACGCCGGAAGCCACAGTCTTGGAAGAGTTGAGTCTGAGCCTATTTCTCCCCATCCAGACCCGCACGGCCTCCAGGCAGCAAGACATCACATCAAGGGCATCGTTGGGGTGGTCTGGGGTGGAGATGTACAGCTGAGTGTCATCAGCATACTGATGGACTCTCACCCCAAAACCACAGATGATCTCACCCAGCGGCTTCACATAAATGTTGAACAGAAGAGGCAAGAGAACCGATCCTTGTGGCACTCCCCATGCGAGGCACCTCACAGTCGACCTCTGCCCCCCTGCCAATACAAACTGCGAACGGTTGGAGAGGAAGGAGGAGAACCACCGCAGTATGGTGCCCCCTATTCCTAACCCCCTCAACCGCTGCAGCATGATACATTGGTCGATGGTATCAAAAGCCGCTGAGAGATCTAATAGGACCAGGACAGAGGAGCAACCCCTGTCCTGAGCCCTCCAGAGATCATCCACCAACACGACCAATGCCGTTTCTGTGCTGTACCCCTGCCTGAAGCCCAACTGGTACGGGTCCAGATAGATAGCTTCATCCAGGTACCGGGGAAGCTATCATGCCACCACACTCTCAACAATCTTCGCCACAAAACGAAGGTTGGAGACCGGACAGTAGTTAGCTAATTCAGCCGGGTCCAGGGAAGGCTTCTTGAGGAGGAGCCTCACCACCGCTTCTTTCAAGGTGGCAAGAAAGGCACCCTGACTCAAGGAAGCACTTATAATCCCCTGGAGCCAGCCTCGTGTAACCTCCCAGGAGGCCAGTACCAACCAGGAGGGACACGGGTCCAATAAACACGTGGCGGCACTAATCTTATCCAGAACCCTGTCCACATCCTCGGAAGCCACAGGATCAAACTCCTCCCAGATAATATTCTCAAGACCTACCCTCGTCTCCTCCCCTGGACTCATCCAGTTGGAGTCCAAGCCTTCCCGAATCTGAGTGACTTTATCATGCAGGAATTGCATAAAATCCTCAGCTCGACCCTGCAAGGGATCTTCCCGCACTCCCCCCACCCCGAAGAAGGGAGTGGGTCACCCTAAACAGAGCAGCTGGGTGGTTCTCTGCAGATGTGATAAGAGTGGAAAAATGGTTAGATTTCACTGCTTTTATCGCCACTAGGTAGGTCTTGATATAAGACCTCACCTGTGTCCAGTCAGAATCGGATTGACTAATCCTCCAGATGCTCTCTAAGTGTCTTTTCTGACGCTTCATCTCTCTTAGCTCCTCGGAGAACCAAGGAGCCAATTGAGATCGGCATCGGGTCAGAGGCCGCAAAGGCACGACGCAGTCCAAAGCTCTGGCGGCCGCACTCTCCCAGGCAGCCACCAGGTCTTCGGTCGAGTCGTGTGCCAGAGTCTCAGGAAATGGCCCAAGCTCCGTCAGGAAACTTTTGGGGTCCATCAGGTGCCTGGGACGGAACCATCTGGTCGGTTCCGTCTCCCTGCGGTGGGGGAAAGCGGCTGGAAAGTCCAAGTGAAGGAGTGAATGATCTCTCCATGACAAGGGTTTAATGTCTAGGTCCCCTCTACCAAGATCATTCAACCACTGACCAGAGACGAAAATCAAGTCCAGAGTGTGTCCCCCTATGTGAGTGGGGCCTTGAACTAACTGGGTCAGGTCCATGGCCACCATGGAAGCCATGAACTCCCGAGCCACCTCTGACGCCTCACCTGCGGATGGTAGGTTGAAATCCCCCATGACAATAAGTCTGGGGGTATCAACCGCCACTCCGGCAATAACGTTGAGCAGCTCGGGCAGGGTTGCCGCCACGTAGCAGGGAGCCAGGTACGTAGTCAGCCCCACTTTACAAAAAGGAACTCACATCCAGCTATCTGAGGAACAGTGGTTTCTCTCAGACAAAGACTTTCCCTAATAATCACCGCCACTCCCCCACCCCTCCCCTGAGCCCTTAGCTGATGAAATGCATGGAAACCTGGTGGGCACATTTCAATGAGGGGGACCACCCTTCTGGCCCAATCAGGTCTCCGTAATACCTGCCAGGTCCGCACCCCCTTACAAAATAAGATCACAAATGAGAGGGGGCTTTATTAACAACTGACCTGGCATTACATTACATAACAGCCGCAGACCCAGGGCCTGAGGCTCTGTGCAACCCCGGACACAAGTCGCGCATTGGGGGCCGGAGTGCGTAATCACTCGTAAACATGATATGGCCCCCTGCGCCCGTCATATCTGCCCCTCCCGCTCATTATTTCAATTGCACTGCCCTTCCTATCACTCCGCTGCTCCCCGGTCAAATTTCCTTCCACGACCCCTCCTCTGCGTCCAATCAACCCATCACCCTGCTCAGTGGCTATATGGACCCCCCCAGGTCCACCTTTACAACCCCCTCCCCTCCTCCCGGGTCCCCTTAAAATTTTCATTAAAAATTTTGCGAAAAAAACCCTCAACTCCCACTTCGCTGCATGCCATGTCTCGGGGTTCCAAAGCCCGTCATCAAGATAGGCCCTCGATAACGTGGAGGGCCAGGCCTGCAAGTTTCAAAAGAGAACAGAACGTTTAATTTAACTACATATGCTAGTTTTGTGGCTGCTCAAAAAATAGTCAGGCACGGGGAGTGTTTTCTGGCGCCTGGTGTTTTCTTTTCTGTGGGAAACGGGTCCAAATGGCTCTTTGAGTGTTTAAGGTTGCAGAGCCCTGGTATAGAGTTTCCTCCTTGAGGAGGGGATTGGATTGGAAGACCTCCAAGATCTTTTGAAAAAGCAGCGTTGGGACAACTATGACCTGGATGACTGAGAATTTCCATAGACATTCAAGATTCCTTCCAACTCTATTATTCTGTATTATTTAAATACTTGCTCACATGGTTGATGACCACTTTCTATGAATTGGAACTACCTAGTCCATAGGTAGTTTTATTTCAGCTGCTCTAAAGCAGCTATTGTTCTGAAATATCATAGCAGAGTGTTTTGCATTTTCAAGGTTGATTCCAAATCCATGAACTGGTAACTAGTTCACAAACCTCTTCAGAAGGCAGAAATGTTCAATTCTAAACAAGTCCCTGGATTAACTGGAACCGAGCCAATTGGCATTGTAAGGAGCAGCAGTTAGTCAAACTGGCATTTAGAATCTGTTTCCTTCACGTCTTGTCTTTCCTGACTGACATTCTTCCTGTTATCTTTGGTATTCACTTTGACTCTCTGCAATTGTCCAGTTTCCTTTCTTTTTTAAAAAGAATGGTTTATCAGCACAAGCCCAGGAAGGGTGTTGTCACAGGAAGATTGCTGCCTTTGTAAAGTGGGCATGCACACACAGATGGAGCAAAAAAAATCTGAGCCTTTAAAATGCAAACATCACCTTGTATTTTCATAAGATGATGGCAGGATCCAGGCAAGTTGATTACTTCTCTGAAACTGACAGATTTCATTTAATCATTTATATAATATAGGCAGATATATCTTTTTACCATCCCTATGTATATATATAAAAAAATAAAACCCTGAAAGAATTTGAAGAAGGATGCAGGGCATTTGAAATCACTGAAATTGTATAGTATATGAACTCTTGCTTGATTTAAAAGATAGGAGACCTTACTGTATAATCCTTCTTTCCACTACTTGAACTTTAGATCTAATATATAAATAATAAATCAAGATGAAATGGGGGGTCTGCATTATACAGACATTTGTAAAGCTTAGAGAAGTGCTCAAATGAGAATTAGCTGGGAAGAGTGCGTTTTATTCTTTTTAACATGGCTATTGTATGATCCTGTAATCAATAAAGCACTGATTATGTTACTACTTGTATTTGAAGGTCGCAGTGCAATGGATGTGAGAGGAGATTCCATGAGGATGACTGTGCACCTGCTTGCCAACACTGGACATGCAATACACTTGCAACAAGCTTTTGATCAACTTCAAGAATGGATCTGCCTGGACGTTCGCCTCTTTCTTGTCTCAGAACGCCCTTCTCCAATTAAGTATTATGAGACATACCGCCAAAAAAGTTCCAGGTTTCCTAGTACTTCTGTGCTCCTTTTTTTGCATGAGGACTTTGGAGAAGAACGGTTTTTCCAGGTCCATGACTTCTTCCAACATCCACCATGGCAGCCTGTCCACATTGAGTGTCCCAGCAGGAAGCTATCTCTCCATGCCCTTGATCATCAGGACTTCTATGGACTGGATGAGCATATGCCGGTATGGGGCCTGAGAAGTGTTCACTATGGCATGGAAATCCTGCGTGTCACTCTCTATTGTAGCTTTGATAATTATGAGGATGCAATAAGGCTTTATGAGACAATCCTGCAGAAAGAAGCATCTGTCCAAAAAAGTGGCTTCTGTGCTTTTCTACTGTACACAACACACAGCCTTGTGGTTCAGCTCTGCTTGAAGCAGTTGCCTTTGGGGATGAGTGTTGACCTGAAGGAATCTTCAGTATTACAGTTCAAAGTGTATGAAATTGGAGAACTGGTTCCACTTTTGCCCAATCCCTGTGTCCCAATAAGCAGTACTAGATGGCAAACAGAAGACTATGAAGGAAATAAGATCCTGCTGCAGGTACTTCTTGTCACTGCAATAGATACCAAAAGACATAATGGTCGAACTTTTGTATGGTCCTTAGCATGGATGCAATAGGTGATACTGGTGTTTTCACAGAAAATGTTGTTCTTCAGATATTTATTTATTTGATATTTGGTATGACTGTGTAAAGTGATTGTAGAGGCATTTTATTCATTGGCATAAGAAACCACCACTTTGTCCCATTGGTTGATTATTGATTGATTAAACATATCTGAAATGTTGAGACAAGAATGTCTTCCAGAAAACCTGATGTGATTCCTCTGAAAACTTTCAGAGACACAGATGATATTTCCATTTATTGCATGTGGTTAGGAGTTTAGAAAGCATTCAAAGCCAAACTTTCTGAAAGTTGCAGCTGATTTGCAATTGGAAAATATTAATATAATATTAATTATATATGAATCAAACATTTTAAAATTCTGTCTTAGTTTGCAGTCATTAAAAGACAAAACCCTTCAAAAAAACATAGGGACTTCAGCAGGCTTATGGCTGGCAACAAATCCAATAACATGTAATGTGAATGTCCATGCCTGGAATTACAGGCCTTTTAAAAATGCATGTATTTTAAACGTATAAACAAGTAGGCCAATAAAAAATAAAATTGTTCAAAAGAACATTTTAGGATAACAATCTATCCTTTGATTTGGTACAGGTGATGATACATCTTTTCAGTGTTCGTTTGCTTAATTATTGTCCCACTTCTATCCCACTTCCTCTGCCTGCCCATCCACCCCAACTCTTATTTCCTGATATTTATCACAAGGCAACAGCAGGTTGCAATGGAGGAAAAGGACCCATAGATTCATAAGACCCTTTAGTCTCCTGCTGGGACCTCCTGTGGTACCTTATTAGGAGCCGATTTGTACCTGTCATGCCATCTCACATTAAATTAAAAATATATTAAATATCCCTTAGTTTTTATTGAAGAATAGCCAGAATACACACTAAAATGTGGGGATCATGTTGACAGGTTCAAATAAGTTTAATACTTCAATTCAAGGCTAGGTATGTGTTTTCCTTACCTATGTCTTTAGTAGAACTCTTTAATTACTGATTTGTGGTTGATGGTTTTATAGGATCTATAGGTGTAGATCTGACTTTATTACTATTGTCAAGATGCAGTTAATTTATTTTCTTTTCCACAGGTTCAGAGCAGAGGCTCAAAGCACAATGGAACTCAATCTCTACCTCCTAATTGGCACAACAGCACTGATGAGAAAGGGTCTCCCCATTACTGCTGTGATTTATGCTCCAGCGTATCTTCAGTGGCTCCCAGAACTGCTGTTCAGCAGAAAAACCGGACACTTCGAGCCATGAAAAATAAAAACAAATCCTCAAGGAGGATGGTGCAAATTCCTGCAAGTCTGTTCACCCCTTCACAAAGCAACTTTAATTCTTCTTCCAGTTTGTATAATATAGCACATTCTTCTTTGCAAGATCTAGGCTCTTCCCCAATGAACCTGGGTACTAAATTGAGACATTCCAGCCATGAGCTCTGGCTATGCCAGAACAAAGGAGAGGAGGAGGAAGAGACTAATGTTGACACAGGCAAGAGAGTAGCACCTTTTAAATGTGCTAACTCTCCCCTAAACAGATTTTCCAAGGACTTACAAAAAGAACTTCTTCAGTCCGAGGCACCAAGCAGTTCATTTATGGGAGCAGGTTTGGGTTCTGAGGACAGGAACTCTTTATTGTCTTTGCATGTTGCTGAAATTAATAAAAGATCAGGATTTAGTCATTTTCAGCTGAGCACATCAGGAGCAAATGATGGGAATGAGAAAGACGAGGAGGAGTTTTTTATATGATTTGAAACTTCCATGTATCTTTCACTGCCTTATTTTTGGAATATCAGAAAGTCCAATAGATCTATTCTTCGGTATAAATAATCTATGCTATCTTTATATTAGAGCTACAATGAAAGGTTTAAAAGTACTAGGGAAAAGAAGAGAAAGAAGTTTGCAATATAAATTTCATGTACTAGAGAATATTGTGCAATAGATTGGAAGAAGCCATTCATTTTAATGCACCAGAGGAACTGACAGAAATTCACTAAAAATCTAGGAGAAAACCCCAAACCTAGGAAAGCCTAAAAGAAATTTGGGAAGCATCAATTTGGGATGATAAGAATAGTGTCTTAGTTAATCTTGACTTATCTGAGAAGCTCATCAGAATTTGACCTCATTAATTCTTGGGTAGGATCTCCAGGAAATATCCTAGAAGAAAGCAATGGAAAAAATATTGCCCCCCCCCCAAAAAAATACTTGGACACATTCATGAAATCATGAAGGTTCAAGCTTAACTTTTCCCATACCATAGAAATTAATTTAAAGATACAGAAAAGAAAATAGGCATTTTTCATTTTTCCATGGTTACTATGCTAAGCCTGTCTTCATTTTCTCCATGCCCCATGCTGTACTGCATCTTGATGTCAAAAGTACTCTGTTTTCCCCAAAATAAGACCTCCCCAGGTAATAAGCCCAATCAGGCTTTTGAGTGCATATGTTAAAAATAAGCCTTCCCCAAAAATAATCCCCCCCCCAAAAATAAGCCCTCTTCAAAAATATTTAAGTGCATGTGCAGCCGGTCCCTGCCATTTCCTCTGGTTAGAGTTAGGGAGACAGAGCTGGAAATCAGGTAAGACAGCAAGAGGAGCCCCACCTTGCTCCACGTGCCCAAAAATAATACCTCCCCAAAAATAAGGCCAAGAGCTTATTTCGGGGTTCAAAAAATATTAGGGTCTTATTTTCGGGGAAACATGGTATGAAAATGCAACTTTGGATCTTTGGAACTGAAGTCTTTCCATTGTTGAAAATGCAACTAATTAAGCAGAGGGGTACACATCAATCTGGCTTCTGAATGGCAATCCAAAAGCTACACTTTTTAGAATGGGGAAGATTAGACAATATGTCTAAGGCCAAGATAAATGCTGAATTTCATTAAGCATAATTTTAATATGTCAACTTCTTTAAGATAAGCTGATTATTCTACTGTTCATTTATTTTCATTACATTCGTATTGAAACTGAATAGCAATTTTTCCAGATTGCTATAGAGAATGTATCAGAGCTTCTGGAGCTCAGTTTTTGCACCTTGATGGAAAACGTAGTGCTACTGTTGTGACTACTGTATTAATATTACTTAAACTATGAGCTACTTCTGTCTAGTTGATGATACTTGATAATGAGTTCTAGAGAACAGGAAACAATCACTGAGCTTGTTAAGTAACATGCCACATCCATTTCTCAACCAGTGTATCAAGAGAAATTAGATATATAATCAGAAGGCTGAGCTACATTCGGAATTATATGTAACTATAAGAACAATGGCAAATATAGGTGTGACTCTGTGCACTTGCTTTAACAGGTGAGTTAAGTTTGTCAATAAAGAAGGATCGGCTTGTGAACCCATCTTTTATTGCAGGAGTGTCTCAATGCATTTCTGGCTCACCTGTGCTTCCCTGCCTCATCTCAGATATCGCTACAGATTTCCTTCCTATTTCTTGTTGATACACTTCACCCAACACACTTTTGCCTGTCAAAGAACTGTATTTGATGTCATATCCGGAATAAAACAATCCCAAATTGTTTGAGATATGAACTAAAACGTAGGTTGGTTGTTGTGGTTTTTTTCTGGGGAGGGGGCATGGATCATCTGAAACCAGCTACACTGGAATCAGCAACACCAACCTACTCTGTGTGGTTGGAAGGAATCCCAGGCAGCTTCCCAAACAGGGAATGTGAAGGGACATCACTTGAATTCTAATAATAAAGTATTTAGCCTGGATGCCTGAAGGAGTGCATTAAAATTAACATATTTCTTTATTTTCTGTATCATTCATATAGAAGAGCTAACCTATTTGGATTTAAACATCCAGGTTCAAATTTCCACTTCTATCATGAAATTCATTGCCTTTGGCCATTCATTCTCTGTCTGCACAAATAATCTAATGAAGTTGTTACCATAAGATGAGAAATAAACCTCATCAATTTAAGGGAGGGAGGGAGAGAAACTAGGTAAGAAGGGGAAGGAAGGAAGGAAGGAAATAAGGCTCTAATTCAGGCAGGGAGATCAGACTCAGATCTCTCCATGTCTGCTAGAGAGAAAGTTTGAAAGGGTGCTATCAGAGCTCAGAAAAAGAAAAAATAACTTTTCTGATAAACAAAAATCTCAACATCTATATTGTAGGAAGAAGGCCTTCACCAAGTAAGAAATCTTAAAAGAATTTTATTTTAAGATATCTTAAACCCAATAAGTTCTTAACGGTTCTCACCAGCTGATTTTTGAAAGCATTATTTTAGCTAAACAAAATAATGCAACCTAGTTGCTTTTAAAAATTGTCCTGCTTTGAAAAGGATCCAGGGCTGAAGTAGGTGGGAAAGGCATTTGCCTTTCATACAGGTTCAAAAGTGAAGACTTCAAAATATACATGGAAAGTCAGCAAAGTTACCCTCGGCGGTCCTATTTATAGATGAGGAAGAAATAGCATTACCGATAATACATAAAAATCAATTGCTAACAAATCAGAATAACAGCGCTGGAAGGGACCTTGGAAGTCGTCTAGTCCAACCCCCTGTTCAGACAGGAGATCCTACACCATTTCAGACATGGTTGTCCAATTTCTTCCTAAAAACCTTCCAGAGGCAAGTGACAACTTCACCTCTGAAGCACTTCAAGTTTAAAAACCAACATCAGAGATGGTTACTATATATTCAATCAGCAGTCCAGATCCACCTTGTATGGTCAACACTAAATTGGTGCTATGTAGGTAAGAGTTAATGGAACTCAAGGGAGGCTTGACTTGAACCACTTAGAGCAGTGTTTCTCAACCTTGGTAGCTTGAAGATGGGTGGACTTCAACTCCCAGAATTCCCCAGCCAGAGCTGCTGGCTGGGGGATTCTGGGAGTTGAAGTCCACCCATTTTCAAGCTACCAAGGTTGAGAAACTCTGACTTAGAAGGACATAATGACTCCAGGCCCTTTTCACTCTGGTCCCAGGGTCTGCCTCTCCTCCTCCTGCAATATAGGTAGCCCTGAACTTACTACCACAATTGAGCCCAACATTTCTGTTGTTAAGTGAGACATTTGTTAAGTGAGCTTTGACCCATTTTACAATCTGTCTTGCCACAATTGTTAAGTGAATCACTGCAGTTGATAAGTTAACAACACAGTTGTTAAGTGAATCTGGCTTCCCATTGATTTTGCATCTTGAAAGGTTGCAAAAGGTGATCACATGACCCTGGGACACACCAATGGTCATAAGTATGAACCAGTTGCCAAGCAGCTGAATTTTGATCACATGAGCATGGAGATGCTACAAAGGTTGCGAGTATGAAAAATGTCATAAAGTCACTTTATTCAGTGCCATTGTAACTTTGAACCGTCACTAAGTGAACTGTTGTAAGTCAAGGACTACCTGTATTGACAGATTGTTAAATAGCTGTGTTAATATATTTGCCACACAAAAAATCATTCTAAGCCAACAACATGTCTACAGATGGAATGACCTGCTTTTGTATGAATTTTTGCACAGAAGGTGTATTGAGATATTTCAGTTTGTTTATCCCAGAGGAAATAATTGGATATAAAGGAAAATGCTTAGAGTAATTTTAGAAATTAATCTAAATGGACTGTGGTTGTTTTCCCCTCCATTGCCGTCAATTAGTATGCAGCATGCCTCCCATTTTCCTGCTACCAATGAGAAAATAATTTGAGGAATGTCTCAAAAGTGCTGTTCCAGTTTTTATTTGCAATTGTAATTTTCAGTATGAACTCATTGCTTCTCAGCCATGCTGAGTTTAGCTCCAAAGAGCTTTATGAAAGAAGAAGAATTTTTTAAAAAATGTTTATCATTATCAAGGCAAAATGCTGCAGCAGTCTAAACAAACTCGAAGTTGCACTGTGCTTTAGCAGTATGGGTGCCATTTAGTTGGTCCACAGTGATGGGGAAGCAAATGGGACATTTGGGAGGTGATATAGGACAGGATGCTCCAAAGTTACTTAGCGTTCCTCAGGGCACAATAACATCTTTTGTCTTGCCTAAAACCAGCAGCAGAGTTACTTAAAAAAAAAAAAAAGAGGAAGAAAAAAACCTTCAGCTTGTTGCCAAGGAACTGAAATAGTGTCCCATAGCATCTTGGAAGCAAAGCAGAAGGCTGTTGGAGTTTTGCCTAGTATGTCCTGACGCGAGCATAAGATTTTGGAGTAAGTGAATATCTGATGATGACTGTAGAAAGAATAATTCGTTTTATCCTGTCCTCAAAATATGTATGCTGCTGCCTGAACTATATGTGCCATGTTTAAAATGACAACTTGCGTATAAATGAACTAAATAAAACATAAATAAAGATCAACCAGAGATAGGAACAAAAAGTACAACTGTGGAAAGGGGTAGAAGAGAGTTGCTGGCCAAGACAAGGAGTGAGGGAGAGTTTTCTTCTTCCCTCCCATTGCCAATCATGGGAGGACATTCTTTATGCCAACCTAGTGTTCATCTGTTTCTCTGGGCATCCCAAGGAATGAGAGGATTTGGAAACTAGTAGATTCACTCTTTTTTTTTTTTTCAACAACATGCCTTATTTTCCCTTAAATGACTGATGGAAAATTGTTCCCAGACTATCCATACTATCAGTGTTTCTTCTTGTGGAATGGATATCTAAATAGCATGTTGTGGGCGACCGGTGTCAACTGGTGCTTCAACTCTTTGCAACAAGGCCTTGAATTTGATCATCTAATACAGGTGTCTCCAAACTTGGCAACTTTGAGACTTGTAGACTTCAACTCTCAGAATTCCTCAGCCAATTTTGCTGGCTGAGGAATTCTGAGAGTTGAAGTCCACAAGTCTTTTTTTTTTTTTTAAATACTTTATTGAGTTTTCTAAAACAAAAAAGAAAATATACAATCTATCTCTCCTTTCGGAGGTGCAGAGTTTATACAATATAGTGAAACAAAAGTTAAAAAAAGACTTCATCCTTAACTATACATTATTTTATACAATACAACTATAATACATATGCCAAGTCAAATTCTATAGTCATGTTTTCGTCTTATTGTTCAACCAGTGATACCAAATACCCCATACGTCATAATATTTTGAGTTGTCCTCGTTTTTTAACTCACTTGTCAGTTTCGCCATTTCTGCGCACTCTAGGATCTTATTTATTAGAGTTTCTTCTGAGGGCATAAGTTTGTTTTTCCAGCATTTTGCGAAAGCTAATCTAGCCGCAGTTATAATCTGGATTATCAGTTGGGTTTTGTTGTTATTAAAGCCTTCTTCGGTTATGCCTAGGAGGAAAAGCTCTGGGGCTAGGTCTACCTCCTGTCCCGTTATTTCACAGAGCCAGTGTCGGATTTTGGACCAGAACTTTTTAGTCTCAGGGCAGGTCCACCATAGGTGGTAGAAGGTGCCGACCATTTTTCCACATTTCCAACATGTGGGAGAGAGATTTGGAAACATCTTGGCTAGCCTCGCTGGGGCTAGATACCACCTGTGTAACAATTTGTAATGATTTTCCCTAAACGTTGTCGATTTAGTTATTTTGTAGTTTCTATTCCAAGCTATCTCCCAATCATTAAAATTTAGTCTATGTCCTAGATTTTTTTCCCAGATGTTCAGTTGATTTCTTGCTATGGACTCTGCCCTATCTTCATCTAATAGAAAGTTATAGATTTTCGATAACATTTTCTTATCTGTTCCCCAAATAATTTTGTCAAAGTTCCCAGATTTCGCTGCTATACCAAATTTGTCTCTGTCTTTTTGGAATCTTGAGTTGATCTGAAAATAGTTCCACCAATCCAAGTTTAGGCCCTGATCTCTCAATAGATCCAATGATTTAAGTTTCCCTTCTTCATCGAGGATATCCTTGTATGTACCCCATTTGTACTCATCTCTCCTGTTTGGTGCCGCCAACGCTTCCATGATGGAAAGCCAGTTGGGTACTTTCGTATAGATCTTCTGTCTAATTTCGACCCACGTGTGAATAAGGGTCTCCCTAATTTTATGTTTATGAAAATAGGATTTTTTCTTGTTCTTTATATCCCAAAGGTAGGAGTGCCATCCTTCTAGAAGGTCATGTCCTTCCAAGGTCAGGGTTCTCCTATCTTGTAACTTGATCCACTCCTTAATCCAGATTATTTTTGCCGCCTTTTGATATAGTTCCCAGTCAGGGAGCCCAAAACCTCCCAAATTCCTTTTCCCTTGGAGTATCTTAAAAGAAATCCGCGATTTCTTGCCCTCCCACAGAAAATTCCTGATATGTTTGTTCAGGTCCAAGAAGAATTTTTTATCTAAAGATAACGGAATATTTTGGAATAGGAACAAAATTTTTGGTAGGATATTCATTTTAATCGCTGCAATTTTACCAATCAGAGACAATTTGAGCTTTTTCCATCTTTCAAGATCTTGGTGTGTTTTCTGCAGAAGGGGGATATAGTTATCATCTTTTAATGAGGAGAATCTTGTGGTGATCCAAATTCCCAAGTATTTTATTTTCCTAACTGTCTGGAGGCCTAATAAATCTTCCAATTCTTCCTTTTGAAGGTCTGTCATGTTTTTCACTAATAGTTTAGTTTTGTCCTTATTGAGTTTAAGGCCCGCCACCTCTCCATATT